AGCAGGAAAAGTGATATTAGTTGGAGGGCTTATGGTATCCAATTACATGAAGGCAAACTTGTTCCAGTCACGACACCCATCTACTAAACTTCTTTCTTCACAACATCTTGAATTTTGCAGCTGCTAAAAGTTAAGTTTGTTAATTTAAGTTGTGGTTCTAATAGTTAGTGAATTAGAGTGGTACTGGAAGAGAAGACCACAGAGCTTTGTTGAGTACTTTGGTACTTATGTAACTAATATTACATGTTACATAGGTAATATTTACCTTTGGCTGTGTACTTAATTACATTACAAATCATCCAATTGATCTGCCACTCTTCTGACTAGAGTAACAAAGACCTTGATAGTGACAGGCCTTTTCTCTCTTCCCCTTCTTTGATATAGAAGAACAATGTGGTAAATGAGTATTTTTAAAAACCTCTCCATTGGTTCCCTAAATTACATTTTTTTTCCTTTTTAGAATCTGAAGTTTGGTTCAAAGGTTAATAGAAAATGAGAAAAGTTTGACCATCTCTATTTTCTAATTTTTCTGTTACACGTCTTCTCTTTCTCTCACTCTTTTATTCATCTTGTATTCAGTTCTATTTTCTCTCTTTCTGCTCCTCTCATTCTTCTATGCTTCATTACAAGTCCTCTCCCCTCACTTTTCTCCACCATTTCATTCCCCCACTATTTATCATTCCCATTTTTGTATTACTCTTATGTCAGTCTGTTTTCCCCTCTTTCCTCCTCCTGATCCTATCCCCCATGTCTCTCTTTATTCCCATATTGTTGCTTTTGTTCATTTCCCTAATAGCACATGCTCCCAAATCCCTCTGCTCAAAACAGGACCATCCGCAACCACATCATCCCAGCCAAAGTTTTGTCTAGCTGGGTCTTAAAAACATCCAAGGACAGAAATGCCACCACCTCTCTGGGTAACCTGTTCCAGTGTTTTAACTACCCGCCTCATGAGAAAATTCTTCCTAATATCTTACCTAAACTTCCCTTGCTGCAACTTCAGACCGTTGCTCCTTTTTCTGTCATCTGCCACCACTGACAACACTTTAGTCCTATCCTCTTTCGACCCCCACTTCAGGCAGTCAAAGGCTGCTATTAAATCCTCTCTCAGACTTCTTTTCTCCAGATTAAATAAGCTCAGTCCCCTCAGCCTCTCCTCAGAAGTCATGTGCCCCAGTCCCCAAACCATTTTTGCTGCCCTCGCTGGACTCTCTCCAATTTCTCCACATCCTTTCTGTAGTGGGTGGCCCAAAACTGGACACAGTACTCCAGATATGGCCTCACCAGTGCTGAATAGAGGGGAATAATCACTTCCCTTGAACTACTGGCAACATGCCTACTCATGCAGCCCAGTACGCCATTAGCCTTCTTTACAACAAGGGCTGGCTTGTATTCAGCTTATTGTCCGCTGTAACCCCCAGGTCCTTTTCTGAAGAGCTGCTGCCCAGCCTGTACTGGTGCATGAGATTGTTCTGCCCTAAGTGCAGGACTTTTCACTTGTCATGGTTGAACCTCATGAGATTCCTTTTAGCCCAATCCTCCAATTTGTCTAGGTCACTCTGAATGCTAGCCTTACCTTCCAGCATGTCTACTGCTCCCCCAGCTTGGTGTCATCTGCACACTTGCTGAAGGTGCACTCTGTGCCATCTTCTAGGTCATTCATGAAGACACTGAACAAAAACAGCCACAGAACCAACCCCTGAGGCACTCCACTTGATACCGACTGCCAGCTAGACATCAAGCCATTGAATACTACCCTCTGAGCCTGAAGTTTGAGCCAGTTTTCTATCCACCTGACAGTCCATTCATTCAGCCCCTCCTTCCATAGCTTGCCTGAAAAATGTTGTGGGAGACTATAGCAAAAGCCAAGCTAAAATCAAGGTACACCATATCCACTGGTCTCCCCACATCCACAGAGCAAGTCATTTCATCATAGAAGGCAATCAGGTTGGTCAGGCATGACTTGTCCTTGGTGAATCCATGCTAATCACCATCTTCTCCAAGTGCTTAGAAATGGATTCCTTGAGGATCTACTCCATGATTTTTCCAGAGACTGAGGTAAAGCTGACTGGTCTGTAGTTCCCTGGAGATATACAGATTCCATACTTGTTTTTGGTTTCTGTCTTTCCTAGATTTGGAAGAGTGCTCTGGTTAACCAAATGTCTGACAGTCCAGTAGAGTTTGGGAGTAAAGCTCTCCTGTGAGTTACTCTTTCAGCTGAATGGAGTTCTACATTCTATTCAAGCAATTAAATGTGAATCTGTGTACTTAAATACACAACATTTAAGTTGCTATTATATATGAAGCCTAAGGTTGCTGTCTTCTCGTTTCACTATTAATGTAACTTAAATCTAAGTATTCAATAAGATCTAGTGTTTTATACTTGCAATACTACACTATAGTTATACTATGCTATACTATACCTATCCCATTTAATGTCCGAAAAGATCATCTGTCCCTAACCCTGCTATGTATAGAACCCTTTGAACTACCATTAAGAGGAAGTGCTTGTTGTTTGTATGCTCCCACTGATGGTCACGGTAAGTTATACATTAGTAGGGAAGTTGTAAGCAGGGAAGTCTTCACATGCAAGATATACTCACATAGCAGGAGAAACAGGTGGTTGGTTCGCTAGCTATGATTTGCTACACACATTGCTTTGATGTATAGCAGCAAATTGATCAAGGTACTCCATACAGAGCTGTTTCAAACGAAATGTGTATGCATCTCTGCATAACTTAATGTGGCTCCCAATGCATGCGTGAAATGATGCTTCAAAGTCCATAATAACCTTTTCACCATGTACACATTAATCTGCGTGAATCCTAAAACCAAGAAAGTAGCACAACATTTAATGGATATACTTCACATATTAAGCTTTAATGTAAGCTTAGGTTCTTAAGCTAGCTTCTTAGAAAATTTTACATCACCTGTGCTAGTAGTCTGCTGGGCTCTGTGTAACACCAAGGTGTAAATTGTAACAGTGTATCTAAACAGAATATGTTCTTTATCCAGTAAATTTCTTAAAGAAAAGGCATTTTGAACATTTGATTAGCCCCACAACATTGAAGGCCCCAATTTGTCCCGTGGATACAATATTTTAAAAGTGCATAGATGCCCAGCCAGGCAAAACCCGACCTATCAGAGTGGGTTATTTAATTTAATTATTATTATTATGCCTTTCAGTCATTACTACATGTCGGTTTATTGAAGTTTCAAGAGCATGAGACCACCTAAAATTGGAATAAAAGTTTAGTTAAGAAAGACAAAATTCAGGGCCCAATCCTGTAAGGTGATCAGTTTCCTTAAGTTTTCCTGCACCTTGTATCCTTGTGTTAAGGGTGAGATCCAAAATTGGACATACATGTCACAGTGCCAAGCACTATAATGCCTCATTTTCACATTGCAGGAAAATTCTGTACATAACTTCCCTGCTGAATACCCAGACTCCTTCCCTAACCATTGCAATGAGACAAGTAGGTACCTCTCAGTGAGATCCACAAAACTACTAGTTTGTGTGGGGAACCATGAGCAGATAAAAGCTGAGAACAAAGGTATGTCTCAAATCCTACCTCCTTCTGAGGCTTAGGTGCCTGTCTTGGCTCTACCAGGAGGCACTTCTTTCCATCTGGTATTCACGGCTCTCCTGAGACAGAACTCTCCCCTAGGCCCTTACCTTAAAAAAGTATAAGGTCACTTCCTGCTGTTAGAGCTGGAGGCAAAGAATGGTCCTG